ATCCCCCGGTTTGGCAGCCCAGGCGGACGGGGAGCAAAGCCGCGAAACACACGTCTGGGCTGTCCGCTGCCCGCATGTTCCGCGGCTTTGCTCCCCGTCCCCCTGGTCTGCAGACCAGGGAGATGGGGAGCAAAGCAGAGCAAAGCCAAGGAGCATGCGGGCAGCGGACAGCCCAGACGCGTCTGGGCTGCCCGTGTGCTCCGCCGCTTTGCTTCCTCTCCCTGGTCTGCTGGAGACCAGGGAGACGAGCCCCGTTCATAACTGCGGATCCGACATAAGTCGGATCCGTGTAACTCGGGGACTGCCTGTAGCCAAGACTGATGCAAGTGGCAGGGGAAAAGGGAGCAAAGCAATCAGTAGCAATTTAGTAGAACCACTGTGTGACTTCAGTAGCTGAGCTAGCAACAGAACCCAGGTCTCAAGTTCCAGTTCAGTGCCTGGGGCACTGACCCAGACTGTTTGAGAGTTTGTCAATACAGTGTTAACCCACACCAGAGTGGTGCAAATTCTCATTTGCACCAACATGTTACACCCCAAGTGACCTGCATGGGCACTACTGGCACATGCTAAAAATTCCTAAGGGTGCACTGATGTAGACCTGTTTTAAATACTACGACATTAACACACATGGGTGAGGGACAGAGAGATAGCTCAGTGGTTTGAGCATTAGCCTGCTAAACCCAGGGTTGAGAGTTCAATCCTTGAGGGGGCCATTAGGGCTCTGGGGCAAATCTGTCAGGGATGGTACTTGGTCCTGCCATGAGGGCAGGGGACTGCACTCGACTCAATAACTCCTCACGGTCTCTATATAAACACTTCTAGTACGCACTAGTGTTGTGCACTAAAATTTACACAACCCTAGTTCACTGTGTGGGCAAGCCCCAAGACTCCTGTGTACCCTGTTCACACCCCCATCATCCCCAGAGATTAGTCCTGTCTGCTTCTCAGCTGTGCCCACAGGCCCAAATCCTCTGCAGGGCTTTAGCACTTTTATTTCCAAGAGCCACTCGGCTTTTTAGATTCCCCATTCTCAACACAGACCCATGGAACATTACAATGACTATTACCTCTGCGTTGGAGCCAGCTCCCCATCAGAATAGTGGTAGATCTCTTTGGATTGCACAGCACCAGGCTCCTCACTTGGGAGATCAGTGAAGGAGAAATAAACCGAATCACTGTGAAGAGAGGGAATAAAGTCGGTTAAGTGCCTAGTCGACTACCCGATAAGCATATGCTTATCGGGTAGTCGACTAGGCACTTAACCGACTTTATTCCCTCTCTTCACAGTGATTCGGTTTATTTCTCCTTCACTGATCTCCCAAGTGGGGCTGGAACCGGCCCTGCCTGCAGGTCCCAACTGCTGCTCCTCTCCAGGTGCGAGTGGAGACTGGAGCAGGTGGCTCTTGCACATTTCAAAAGAACACACACACACACACGACTATGTAGCACTTTAAAGACTAACAAGATGGTTTATTAGATGATGAGCTTTCGTGGGCCAGACCCACTTCCTCAGATCAAACAGCGGAAGAAAATTGTCACAACCACATATACCAAAGGATACAATTAAAAAAAAACACATATGAAAAGGACAAATCACATTTCAGAACAGATGGGGGATGGGGAGGGGAAGGTAAATGTCTGTGAGCTAATGATAAACAAAGACATTAATTAATCTTACTCATTACAGAGATAGCTTCCCCAATTATCGCCTCTAATATCATTAGCTCAGACATTTACCTTCCCCTCCCCATCCCCTTTCTGTTCTGAAATGTGATTTGTCCTTTTCATATGTGTTTTTTTTAATTGTATCCTTTGGTATATGTGGTTGTGACAATTTTCTTCCACTATTTGATCTGAGGAAGTGGGTCTGGCCACGAAAGCTCATCACCTAATAAACCATCTTGTTAGTCTTTAAAGTGCTACATAGTCCTGTATTTTGTTCCAGCTACACCAGACTAACACAGCTACATTTCTAACACTATTCAACGGGAGAGGCACAGCAGTCAGGACCCAGTGCAAGCAGGGACTGCTTCGGTCCCCCTCGGGCAGGTTCCCTGCTGCGCCTCTGCTTTTGAAATGTACAAGAGCCGTAAGCGGGATAGCGAGTGCCCCCCTTAGGCTGTATCTAGACTACATGCCTCTGTCGGCAGAGGCATGTAGATTTGTTTGTTCAGCAAAGGCAAAAGAAGCCGCGATTTAAATGATCGCGGCTTCATTTACATTTACATGGCTGCTGTGCTGAGCCGACAAACAGCTGATCAGCTGTTTGTCGGCTCAGCACAGCAGCCATGTAAATGTAAATGAAGCCGCGATCATTTAAATCGCGGCTTCATTTGCCTTTGCCTATCTGTCTAATCTATGCCTCTGCCGACAGAGGCATGTAGTTTAGACGTGCCCTTATTGACTAGTCAATGGAATTTCCAACCAGTTATTTGATTGGTCGAAATGTAAACATGCCTAACCTACGTTACTAGGTTATTTCAGGAGTTTTCAAAATAAGCTTATTCCTCTTCACAAGCAGGAGTTTAGAAATAACAAGGCAAGCATCCACACTACCAAGCCTGCTATTTTGAAATAAGGGGCATTATTCTGAAATAACTCTCCAGTGGAGACATGCCGGTAGAGTGGGAGACGGACACAACAGCACCGAGACCTGCTGCAAAGTGACCCCCAGATGCAGAGAAAGGAACCAGTCAGGGCTTTAACCCACCCCTATCCAATGCTTTTTGTGATGGTACACACCTCTTTTGGGAGCGCTTGCTGCTTTCTCCCAGCACAGTCCCTAGCTGGCCCTGGGAGCACCCGCGCAGCGCTGGACAGAAGCCCGCTCAGGACATGTGGCAATTAAAGGGGTTGTGACCGCTTTTCAGCCCTGGAGTGGTTTTTTTTTTTTTGGCTCGACAATTTTGCCCTAGTACTGGCAGTTTTTTGGGGGTATTTAAAAAAGGAAGCACTGCCCCATCAGTAGCCAAAAGTGAAAGGAAGATAGATTGAGCATTTACACAGGCTTCACGTCCCTGAGATGCTGCAGTAACGGTTGATACTAACAAACCCCACCCCACTGCTAGGTGGCAGATGGTGGAATCTCTGCGTAAAGAAACAGGGATTAGGCAAGCGATTTGTTCATTGCTACCCAGGAGTCCTCCACCGACACAGGTGTCCTCGCCTCAGCCTACCAGAGCGCCCTGCCTCCCAGGAAGCCCCACTCAGCTTCCAGGCAGGGCTCACCAGGCATTCAGCAGCTTGCGCTTTTCCTCGAGCGTCCTTTCGCTGTCAGTCCCCTCCAGCTCTTCTGAAGTAGAGTCCTCCACCTCCTTCTGCTTCGGCTTCTTCCTGCGCCGCCTTTTCTTACGAAAGGACGTTGTGTCAGAGCCTGATGCTTCTGGCTCTCCAAGCAGGCTGAGCTGAGACTCCATGAGCTCTGGGGATGGTTTGGCCACGAGGTCTGGGCTCTCTTCCAGAAGGATGGGGGAGGTGCACAAACAGAAGGGGACTGTCTCCTGGAGCACAGGTGGGAAGGGGCACAATTGTTAGCCTTTAACCCAATCTACACAAGACATGTCACCACACAATTGTCAAATCCTTGAGTGAAGGACTGATGCGTGGAAGAGACACCTTTGTTAGTTGGGACCTGGAAAAACGGACTTCGAATGGAACTTTCCAACAACTTGGCTAAATGCAATTAGAAAGGGGCATCAGGACTTACCAGACACAAAGTTAATGGTGCAGAGGACTGAATAGCTTGGTGACTTGGTAATGGGAGAGGCAGCCTTTTCACCTCTAGATCACTTGATCTAATCT